AAACCGTACCTAGCATAATGCAAAGAGAATCTAATTCGTTAAAAATACTCCATTTGTCTCATGGTCACTTTTCAATTGAGTTAATCCATGAGATAGCAGTGCGTGAATCAGATTCAATTATTAAAGAATATGATGTGTTAAGGGAGTCAACAAAGAGCTTTAGAGCCTTTAGAATGGCCATTAGCTCTGAATAGTTAGAGTCATGTAAGCTAAGAGGGTAAAAGAATAAGCCAACTACATTACTATCAGAATCTCGAAGAACATCACCACAACCAGTAGCTCTTGTCTTGCCTTTGGCCGAGTCGTCAACATTAAATTTGAATTCACCAATGGGGGGTGGAGACCATAAAGTGCCCACATGGTGGTGAAGCCACGAATTCCTCCTCAAAGAGAGACGTGGGTCGGTCCACCATCCCAAGTCATCAATGGCATCGACACCTTTGCAAGCTCGTATCCAAAACATTAAGCCTAATTTGATGAGGAAAAAAATTTGAAGACCATCCCAAACCTTAGAGTTGAAGATTGTCTCAATGCATGCTAGCCAAAGAGACCATAGTGAAGTAGCATAAACAATCAACCATCTCTTATAGATATTTCCCCAAAAAGGGCAACCTTCCCAAGCTTGCATGAAAGAGGATAAAGAACAGGGAGAGCACCAAGAGATTCCCCACCATTTAAAAAGATATCCCCAAACTCTCCAACTAAACGAGTAGATGAGAAGAATGTGAGATCAACACTCCTCAACTTGACCACACCACACACAACGAAGCTGGTCAGGGGAGAAATGGGCCCTACATGTAGAGAGGAAGACTTTCGTAGGAATAGAGTTGAGGATGGCCAACCATAGGAAGCATTGAATCTTTGGAGGAATAGCCAATTTCCAAATGGAGCGAAACCAGACAGTGTTAGAATCATCTAAGGAATCCAGTAGAAAGCAAAGAGTTTTGATTGAAAAAGAACCTATCGAGTCATGCATCCAAACCAGTTTATCATCCCTTGATGGCACAAGCGAAATAGAAGAAAGAGAGTATAAAATCCGATCCAAGTCCTCTTTCTCCCAGCTATACAACTTGTGCCTAAAGTTAATTGACCATAATCCGTTCTAACAAGCATCAAGGAGTCTCATATCTTTATCAACAGCCAAAGAGAATAGTGTAGAAAATTTAGATGCAAGGGGAATGACATCAATCCACTTGTCAAACCAGAAAAAAACAGTCTCACCGTTACCTACAATCCAATGGCAGGTATGAAAACCAATTAGATTTTGCATCCCTTTAACAAATGGTAGTTGGACAATACTCCTCCATACCAAAGATATTCTCGCTGTGCTAGATGATGACGGTGTCCAATGAGGTTGTCCTCTGCCATATTTTTCCGTTATCAGTCTTCTCCACAATGCATTTTTGTCCGTCCCATAACACCACCACCACTTGGCTAGTAAAGCAAGGTTTTTATAAGAAAGGTTGGTAATTCCTAGCCCTCCAAATGGCTTTGGCTTGCAAACCGTGGCCTATTTAACTTTTGAGATCTTTCATTTGTCTGATGTTCCACCCCACAAGAAAGATCATCTTAATTGTTCTAATTTATGATGAACACCTTTGGGTGCTTTGAAGATTGAAAGATAATAAAGTGGTAGTGACTTATGAACTGAATTAATAAGTGTAACCCTACCTCCAAGAGAAAAGTATTTTCTTTGCCATAAAGTAAGCTTTTTCTTGAATCTGTTAATGATTGGATCCCAAGTAGATGCTCTCTTAAGGCTGGCACCAAGTGGAATACCAAGGTATGAAAAAGGGAGAGAGCTTACTTTGCAACGCGAAAGCACTGATAACTCGTTACCAAAGAATCCGAGATATCAACTAGAAAAATAGACGATTTTTGGAAATTAATATGAAGGCCCGAAGCTAACTCGAAGTAGTGTAAGATCCTTTTTAGATTAAGAGCACCTTGGGTGTCAGCATACATGAAAATGATAGTGTCGTTAGCAAATTGCAGGTTAGAGATAAAAAGGCCAGAGGATGTGATTGAAATGCCTCGAAAAAGCCTGAGAGATTTTGCCTTCGCAAGAGATAAGTGAAAAGTTTCAACTGCCATGATAAAAAGAAATGGAGAAAGAGGATCTCCTTGGCGAAGCCCTCGCTTCATGGGGAACTCAGGAGTGGCTGATCCATTTACTAACACAGAGAGTCGTACAGTGGAGATACACTTAAAAATCCAATTGCACCACTTATGACCAAATCCCTTAGCACGCATAACAAGGAGTAGATAATTCCAATCAACACAATCAAATGCTTTTTCAAAATCAAGTTTGAGAATGATACCTCTTTCATTGAAAAAATGGTGC